GACACCAAAACAAGTGGTGAAGGTATTGCTTGTCTGGAGGGGCCCCACTGCCGTGGGGACCCACCCCTCTGCATGTCCCCAGGACTTGCCCCCAGCCAGGGGTCCTGCCCTCCTCAAGCTAGTGGTGCTTTCCTGCATGGGTGTGGCATCTCCATGCTTCCAGAGTGAGCTACAACCCTCATGGCTGGGACAGGAGCTTATGCAAGGCATGGGGGAGCAAACCAAGGCAGGGAGATCGGGGAGACCCTGGCTGAGCAGTCTGTAGCTGATTCCCCTGCCCAAGATGTGGAGCAGAGTTCACCTTCCAAAATGGCAGGAACCTGGGGGTGAAGGGGCTGTGGGAGATGAGCCTGGGAAGATGGAGTTGCCTTCTGGAGGCTCTGGCCGCCTCTCACATTTAGTTTCCAGCTTCCCTTAATCCTTGGGACTGCTCTGATTAACATCGGATTGGCTGAGTCCCGTTGGCTGCCTAAGGTGTGGGTGCTGCTGATGGGTCCCCTGAGTGTCCCCCCAGACTTGGAGTGCTGTCTGTGGTGGCTCTCACTTTCCGAGGCTGCCAGAGCAGCAGAGCTGGAGATGCAGGATTTATCCTCTGTTTCCACTTTACCTCCCCTCTCCCCTTTCCACCACCTCCTCAGTGATAGTGACCCTGGAGCCCTGTGAAGGTGCTGACACCTATGTGAACGGCAAAAAGGTGACGGAGCCCAGCATCCTGCGCTCAGGTGGGTCCCTGGGGCTGGCACGCTAGTGCTGCTCCAACCCACCCCCCTCCCTCCCACAGGGGGCCACGCACTTGTCCCACGTTAAACCCACAACACATGCATCCCTGCAGGAAACCGCATCATCATGGGGAAGAGCCATGTCTTCCGCTTCAACCACCCCGAGCAGGCTCGGCAGGAGCGGGAGCGGACCCCGTGTGCCGAGACCCCCGCGGAGCCCGTGGACTGGGCGTTTGCCCAGAGAGAGCTGCTGGAGAAGCAGGGCATCGACATGAAACAGGAGATGGAGCAGCGGTAAGAGCATGGGCTGAGGTGCTAGGGAGTTGGATGTCCACCTCCAGGTTGGTCATCCTCTCCTTCCCCTTTTCCACCCAGGCTCCAGGAGCTGGAGGACCAGTACCGGAGGGAGCGGGAAGAGGCAAACTACCTCCTGGAGCAGCAGAGGCTGGTAGGTGGCCAGGACCTAGCTCCTTCTGAGACTGCCCAGGCATGACTGAAGTCCTGGCAGATGTTTGCATGGGGTAGCTCTGTGTGTTCTAAATACAAGGGCAAACCTGTTATTCCTGGAGTTGTCCTCACAAACACAGATCCAGAGGAGGGAGGAGGCTGGGATCCTGCAAGGGGGAGTAGTGTGATGTGGCAGCATGGAGTGAGGTCACATCGGTGGGTTGAATCACCCCTCCTCCTGCTTCCCCCAGGACTATGAGAGCAAACTGGAGGCTTTACAGAAGCAGATGGACTCTAGGTATTACCCTGAGGCAAACGAGGAAGAGGAAGAACCTGAGGATGAGGGTGAGGGCTGCGTGACACCACAAGGTTTTGATGCTCTCTGTGGGAGCACAAAGAGTGGATTTGTGGGTGCCCTGGGCCCCGATGTCCTGGCAGTGGGGTGACTGTCCCTCTGTGTCCCCGCAGTGCAATGGACAGAGCGGGAGTTCGAGCTGGCCCTTTGGGCCTTTAGGAAGTGGAAGTGGTACCAGTTCACCTCCCTCCGCGACCTGCTCTGGGGCAACGCCATCTTCCTCAAGGAAGCCAACGCCATCAGTGTGGAGCTGAAAAAGAAGGTGGGTGGCTGGGCTCCTCTCTGGCTTGCTGCAGCACTCGCAGCAGAGGCCAAGAGAATGGGCAGCTGGGAAGTGCTGAGGAGGGGGTCGCCAGAAGCACCACATGGAACCCTCTGCCCTCCCAGGTGGCTCACCATGCCCTCTGCCCCTCTCCAGGTCCAGTTCCAGTTTGTGCTCCTCACAGACACACTGTACTCGCCTCTCCCTCCTGACCTGCTGCCTCCTGATGCCGCCAAGGACCGGGAGAAGCGGCCGTTCCCCCGGACCATTGTGGCCGTAGAGGTGCAGGACCAGAAGAATGGGGCAACACACTACTGGACCCTGGAGAAGCTGAGGTGGGCAAGTGATGGCTGTGCCAGGAGGGCTTGAGTGCCCACAGCCCTGTGTCTGACCGCTGCCATCTCTGTCCCCTCTCCCTGCAGGCAGCGCCTGGACCTGATGCGGGAGATGTATGACCGAGCAGCAGAAGTGCCTTCCAGTGTCATCGAGGACTGCGACAACGTGGTGACCGGTGGAGATCCTTTCTACGACCGCTTCCCCTGGTTCAGGCTGGTCGGCAGGTGAGCGCTTTGGCTCCTTTGAAGTGTGGCTGGGACCCACAGGTGGTCCTGCGGGAGGACACGCTGCCAGCGCTGCCTGCCACGTGCAGGGCATTCATCCCCCCGTGGCACCCCGGTGCCCGCCTTACCTGCCATCACTGTCCTCCACGTTGGCTGCCGGGACCCCAAGGGACCCGCAGGCAGCTGGCAATGCTTCTGTTGCCTGCCCTGACCCAGTGCTGGGAGCCATGGGCTCTGGGCTTGGTGGGCTGCAGGGGTCACGGCTGTCCAGCAGGCTGAGAGCCTGTGCCAGGTCCAGTGGGCACACGTCCCTGTGCACACACTGGTGTCTGAGCATCTGTCTGCACAGTATGTGCCACGTGTCTCCTTGTGCTTCCCACACAGCGGTTGGAAGGGTGCAGTGAATGAAGCAATGAAGATGGGCCACCCCAGAAAAAGGGTCTGCCCCGGCGGGCAGGGGGATCAGGGGGCTGAGCTGCATGGCCTGGAGGCATCCCCCCGTGCTGCAGCACAGGGAGAGATTCCCTCCAGTAGGAGGGGTGGTGGCAAGCCTTGTGCCACCCACTCCATCCCTACATTTCCTGCAAAGCCAGCGAGGGGAGTCCTCAGCATTCACATCAGTTCCTTGGGTTGTTTTTTTCTCTGGTTGTTTGTGGCTTTAGAGATGTACCAGATGGGCAGGTCTTTGTTCCCAATGTCCCTTGATTTAAGGAGACAAAAACCTGCCACAAAACCCAACCAAGAAAAAAAAAAAAGCAAAATTCCTGTTCTTTCTGTTTGGAACAGCTGGTGTTAACTTGTCTTCTATCTTGTTGTACTAACCTTAGTTCAGATATCTCTGGCTGCAACAGCTCTCCTCTTTTCAACACATGCATGAGCGAGCGCATGGCTGATCTCACCCCCTCCCCTACCTTCTCGAACCCCGACTCCGACATCACCGAGCCTGCTGACGAGCAGCACCAGGGGCAGGAGGAGGAGGAGGAGGAGGAGGACCTGGAGGAAGACATCTTTCCGGAGTGCCCGCTGTGTGATGGCCGGGATCCATTTTACGACCGCTTCCCCCTGTTCAGTTTAGTAGGAAGGTTGGTGAGGTTTTAGGAGAGCATGCCGGGAAGGACCTAGCTCTTTCGCATGAGGGAACTGCTTTTGGACACGACTCCCACCTCCGGGGCGTCCTGGAGGTGAAGGGTGTGGCTGGCTGGGATTGCCGCCAAGCCCAGGTGCCTGGAGGGGTGGTGAGGTGCCCGCTGAGGTAGGGCTGTGAGGAGCGCAGTGGTGGCAAGGGATGGCAAGATGAGGTGGATGGCACCTGTCTTTAGGCAGGTCCCTCTTTGGGGAGCCCCTGAGAAGGGGAGCTCTGCTGCATGTCCATCCCTGAAGGAGCCGGGGGAGATACATGGAGGTCTCTATCCTGGGTGTGTCTGTCCCAGGGAGGGCCACCTCCCACCCAGCTCGGGGTGGCCCTGTGGTGCCACTTGCTGGGAACAAGATTAAAACCCCATGTGCCTCTGGCTCTGGCTTGGCCATCCCTGCATTGGTCAGCCCATCCCATGCATTGGTCAGCATGAGTCCCCCAAATGCAGAGGCTTGGATGTTCCCCAGTGGTTGAGAGGATGAAGCTGAGGGGGGTGAGCAGAGAGCTGGGTGCAGGAGGGAGTGTCAAAAGTGGCCTTTGCTCTTGCCACTTGTACCAAGTGCTGAGCTTGGGGCCACACCTGCCAGCTTGGCAGAGGGGATGTCCAGGGAGATCGTGGGGACCTGGGTGCAGGCTCCAACTCTTCTTTGGCTCCGGCCAAGGATAAGAGCTTTGATTTCTCATACCTGTTGGCTGGGAGACCCACTGGGCTCCATCAGTCGTGGCCCAGAGAAGCCCACCAGCTGCCCCAAAGGTGGCTGTGCCACCAAACCTGGAGCCATATGCCCATTCCCCAGAATGGGATGTGGTGCTGCCAGCTCTCTCTGGTGTTTTCCCAAGGGAGTGTGTGCCAGGAGCTGGTCCCAGAGCCTCTGCCCCAGGCTGGGACTCCCTGAATGGGCTGATGTGGGGCTCCTTTTCCTTGGTGTGCCAGAGCTGGGCCATGTGGTGGGGAGGAGAGACCAGAGCAGGCAGCGAGGGTGGAGGTGGGGTAAGAGTCCTGCAGCCTCAGACCGAAAGAGCTGGGTTCTTCCCCTTTTCTTTTCTTTTTTCCTTTTTTCCTTACAAAAAAAACCCAAAAAACATATCAAAACAACCCCAAAACTGTCAAGGGCACTTCGAAAAACCAAAC